GTACCCGCTCTCCTTCCTGACACGCTGTCACAGGAGGCTGGTCGAGCGGTGCGGGAGGAGAGCTCGGCCTCCTTTGACAGCGCTGTCTCCGCCCCCACACCGCTCTGCCGCACTGTGTGCGGCTGAGCGGTGTGGGAGGAGAGACACCGGCCGCTCAAAGCGCTCTCCTCCCGTAGCGCTCGGCCGGCTGTCACTTTCTCTCCTCCCCGCTGGGACACAGAGCAGCGCCCCGCAGGGAGGGAAGAAACCTGGGATGCGTCTATGTATCGGCAGGAAAATAGCACTTTTGGCATTTAGCCAAAAGTGCCATTTTCGGCCGATATGTTTCGGTGGCTGATATATCGGTGCATCCCTAATTGCAAAACATGTTCAAGATGGCCAACTGCGTCAAAGTGACCACTCTCTGGCCAACTGCGTCAAAGTGACCCCTCCCTGGCCAACTGCATCAAAGTGATCTCTCTCTCTCTGGCCAGCTGCATCAAAGTGATCTCTCTCTCTGGCCAACTGCGTCAAAGTGACCCCTCTCTGGCCAACTGCGTCAAAGTGATCTCTCTCTCTCTGGCCAGCTGCGTCAAAGTGATCCATCTCCGGCCTTTCCTGACTTTACTGTGAAAAATGCTTTAAGCAACTAAGTTTTAAAATGAACAGTAGAGTCAGGAATGGCCAGAGATGGATCACTTTTATGCAGATGGCCATAGATGGATCACTTTTATGCAGATGGCCATAGATGGATCACTTTTATGCAGATGGCCAGAGATGGATCACTTTTGTGCAGTTGACCATTTTGAACATATATCGCAGTCTGTGCAAGCCATGCTGTGGTGCAGGTGACAGGCGGGAAGATCCCGTGGTGCACTCTCCTACTATTGTATTCCACCTCCTTCTGAAATAAATACATTCTGTTAAATATAACACCAACCAAAACATTTTTTGTCTAGTTTTGCATGGAGTGCTGAGGGGTTAGAGCCTCTGTTAGTTATTAATTACTGCTGGGGAGATCTAACATTTTTGACAAGTACAAGTACTTGTCAAAATGCCCTGTATCGGGCCCGATTCCGATGCTAGCATCGGTATCGGGACATCCCTAATTACTATTGATCCTAAGGAAGATTGTCCTTGGTTTACGGTTGTGATTGGAGCAGGTGACGAGGGTAAAATGGGGACATCTGTTGTACTAGGTCAGTTTATGACCAATTATCGGTTAGGAGGACATGGTAGCGGATGAACACTGAAAGTAACAATTAAAAGAAGCCATCGCCCAACGTGGGGCTTGAACCCACGACCCTGAGATTAAGAGTCTCATGCTCTACCGACTGAGCTAGCCGGGCTGGACTGTGTGTGACTCATGGAAGATTCATCTGCAGTCATGGTTTGTCCAATAACTTTATGCCAAGTTCATCTGAATTTCTGCTGGAAGGCTGTTGGCCAATGATAGCCAATAACTGGGACCTATGTCATCTGGATTGATGGTTCGTGATACCAGGATCCTAAAAGTCAACTTTCCCAGACCAGGAGTCAAATCCGGGCCACCAGGAATCCTAAAAGAAATGTGAAGGGGAAGATCACCCCAAATGTTAAATTGATGAGCAACCACTCAGAAGGGATAGCTTCAAGAAGTACATTTACTCAGCTGAACAGCCGGGAACATGCAGCAAGTCAGACACGTTCACATAATATGGGCTCGCAGACCCCTTCTATAGGTATATCTGTAAAAAATAAGTCAAGGCAACTGGAATTGCTGTGTTTTTCTTGAAGATATTTCAATATTTTCTTGAAAAATACAGCGAGTCCGGTTGCCTTGACTTATTTTTTACAGATATACCATGTGACCTGGATGAATGAGAACCTTCACAGACCCCTTTTATAGGGTTTTGAACAGCAGAACCATCTGCATTACCCTGAACTATCTCCATAAATCAGATAATAATGGCTCCTGTACTCATATGTAATGGGGCCAGGATCATTAGATGGGTCATCTTGCCTTGATAAGACCCCCTCATATTAGGCTTAGAGGACAGCTCTCCTGGCATTGAACCTATTGCTCATCAAACCAAGGTCCCTCATATCAAGATTAGAGGACGTCTGTTCATTAAACCAAGGTCAAGAAACATGTTTATGATTTTATGAGACAACTTGGTGGGTGTGTCACTTGCTCACTGATCGCTACTCTGGTAACTGAACCTGGAAGTGATGAGGATTTCGTCACTTCAGGGTTCAGCACTGTCATTTCCCGGCCACTGTAGCCAGGGATAAAGCTAATTGAGCACAATCTGTACTTGATTAGCTTCTAATGGAGTGCAGGGGAGATATTAGGGAGTCTATCGGACCCCCTAATGTCTCATTAAGGAGAATTTGTCATTAGACATGCGCACTGGCAAAAAATTAATTTAGTTTTGTTTTGATTCGGATTTTGCGTTATTTTGTTTTTCGGGATTCCGGTCCGAAAGTCAATTGGTTTCGGGATTGGGACTAAATTCGTTAGTGGTAGTCAGTACGAATTTTCGTTTCCGTTTCGTTCTTTTGAGCAAAGTAGCAAAAAAAATATACATGGTGGGAGTGGGTGGCGTGTGTGTGTTGTGACATGTTGCAGTTCTCCTGTGAGTGATCAGGCGGCTTCATAGCTATAGAGTAGAAAGCCAACAGTCGGCTGAATGAATGTAGCCTGATTCCTGTCTGCTGTGGTCAGTTTAAAGGGCTGTGCTGTCACGGATGTCGTACTTAGATCTGTGGCATCTAAGGGGTTAAATACTGAGCACCGATAAAACTTTTGAGTGTTTGCGTTCTGAAAGAGAATGTAAAAAGATTTCATTCCCATACCGGGAGTCGAACCCGGGCCGCCTGGGTGAAAACCAGGAATCCTAACCGCTAGACCATATGGGAAGTCATGAACCTCAGGCTCAGAATTTCTTCTTTTGTAGAAACCTTCGGCGGGATTTTCTGTGTTTGGTGCGGGAAGCATGCGCCGTGCTTCTCATCGTCTATAACACCGATACGGACACAAGATTGCGCAATGTCAGGTGACGCCTCACAAAGGAACCCCAAATGTTTCCAGAGCCGGAATCTTCACAATGCCGAGTCAGTCAGTAGAAGGGATCACAGAGACTCCACGTTTGCTGCTTCCATCCATTTATAAAGCCGCTTTTACTCTCGCTTTCTATTGGTCGCTGAGTGCGGCTCGCCATGGACAGGTGTGCGGACTGCGGTCTCCCTCTTGTCTGAATTCATCCAATAAATGGCAGAGAAATTACCTCTTCAGCCAATCAGAGAGCTGCTTCCGACAGAGGCTTGGTATGCAGTTCTCCTTCCTGTCTATGGGGGATTTGTACTCTGCATGGAGTTTGGATTTGTAACATTGTTGCCTTTCTATGAGACGTTGTTACTGTTCTCACATTGGTCAGAGGTAAGTCTATTCATTGTATCAAGAGTCCACAAACACTCATCTCTATGCATGACAGTCACCACGGTGCAGGAAAGAAGGCGACTTCTGCTTGTGTGCATGGTCCCTTTAAAAATAAGTGTGCTGAGAGGAGGAAGAGTTCCTGACATGAAATAATGTGCAGAAAGAGTTAAATACAGTGGACCTTGTGCAGGGAGGGGAAAGGGTTAACAACAATACATTGTGTGCAGGGAGAGTAAAGAAATATGTCTTTGCTCAAATCCAAATAGCATATGTGTGTATATATATATATTATCACACACCACATCAGGTGCTATAGAGGTATGATCACATGTTAGAGAGGAGAGGAGGAAGTGTTCCTGTCATTGAATAATGTGCAGAAAGAGTATCGTGGGCAGGGAGGGGAAAGGGTTAACTACAATACATTATGTGCAGATAGAAGAAAGAAATATGTATTTGCTCCAATCCAAATAATATGTATATATACAGTGTGTGTGTGTGTATATATATATATTATCACACACCACATCAGGTGCTATAGAGGTATGATCACATGTTAACACTGACATTTCTGAATTAACCCTCCGCACACTGCTATACATCCTTACACATATTTCTAGCAAACCTATGTATAAAAAGTCATTCTTGTATCACATGCTGTGTATTGCAATGCATGATCAAGATGACCAACTGCATCGAAGTGTCTAAGAAAAAAGAAAGCTGGGAGGAGAGCCCAGGAAAGTGATCTGCCCAAGTCACATGACTGTCTCTCCTCCATGGCTGAAGGCTGCATCACATGCAACGTAAAAAACAACTACCCACCTGGTGCCCAGAACTGAATGTCCCAGGCATCAGGAGATAGGAATTCCACACCTCTGCTGCCCCGAGGCCGGGCCTTGGTTGGCCTTGTGGGAAATCCGGCCCTGATTATAACTGAGCCACTTATTGCTCGTCACTGGGCATGGTTCTGCCTTGAAAAAGCCCAGGAGAAGAGACAGTCGGCAGCACTCCATACAATCCAATGCTGACAACTCTATTGAGTCCCTGCCCAGCTTTCTTTTCCCCTGGGCTTGTTTGACTTGTGGGGCATAGGACGAGTCCCTGCCTGGTGTTGGGCCCTCGGCCCCTCTTGGGGGTTGACCCAGTTCTGGGCTTGGAAACCGCACATTTTATATGCGTTTATACACTTTTAGTTCCCTGCTCCCATCTGTGACTAACATGGTACAATCCTGATCACTTTGTCTCCTTTATCCCATCATTCTGCACAGACACACCATGGAAAAGTCATCCAAGCAGCCCTCCCGGTATATTGATGAAGACACAGAAGCCTTTCTTGAAGATCATGATACTATGGAATGTCATATAATAAAAGGTATGTTAGAAAAGGCAGAATCATGATATGGTGGTGATGGTAAATGAGTCAAATAAATTGTTCAAGGAGAACAAAACTCTCCCAACAAAAAAGATTATTATTGCAGTGAATAGCATGTGCAAGAGAGGAGCGTGGAGGGTAAGGCAGCAGGAGGTTTGTGTGGGAAAAGAGTGTAGAAGGTGTCATGGTGGACAACATTTACCATAGAGGAGTGTTGACGTTATGATGGTGGACAGTGTGTGCAGGAGAGGAGAGTCTAGGCTACAAAGGAGGATATGAAGAAGAGGTGCATGGAGGGTATAACAGAAGACAGTATGAGAAGAGCGTAGAAGGTATGATGGTGGACAATATATGCAGGAGATGCAGGAGAGGAGTGCAGACAGTAAGATGGGCAGCAGTATGTGCAGGAGAGGAGTGCCTAGGGTATGAAATCAGGCAGTTTGCATTGTGAGTGCTCAGCATTTCTCAACCTTTTCCCAGTCACGACACTCTTTGAAAGTATGCGAAATCTTGAAACCATTGTAAAATTTACAAAATTATGTGTGATGCCCCCCAAAAATCCATTCCGGACCTTTGTCCTAGAGAGGGGTCTGGTATGGATTTTAAGGGGGGGACACAAGATAAACCCACAAATGACGTAGGGTTCCCCTTTTCACATGAGAGTCTCCCTTTTATATTAGAAGCCCCCCCCCCCCCCCCCCCCTT